AATCAATTCAGTTTTAAAAATAAAATAAAATATCCCAAAGAATCATACGCATAAACTGAAACAAGTTGAGACTTTCCGTCAACTATGGCACAAACACCGACGCCCGGGTCTCGGACCGGTTGTCGGCTTTTGTAACCGCTGAACTGAACCCAGTGCTTCATGAAGAACGGAGATTTTCTGACCGGAGCATACTATTACCTTCTGAAGAAAGACTCTGTACCATGCAGTTAGTTTACACTACGAAATAAAACTTTACTTTTATCTCCCACGAAGGCTTTACATTCTGTGTAAGTTAAGGTAAAAGTACAAATAGATCGATAAGAACTCAGGGTCCCCTCGCTGAAAAGGTTGCCGGCGTGTACGTTGTTACCAGAAAACTTCCCGTCCCTACGCCAATAGAAAACATTCATCTTGGAAGTCGGGGAACTACTAGATCAACAAAATCTGCACTAGAAGGAAGAAATGGCAAGAAATAACACCAACTTCCCCCCTCCCTTTCGTTTGTCGTTTACTCGTCTTTCTTTCTCTCTTTTTAGTTGATTTATTTTCAGACAAAAACATCGTTTGTTTTACGAGTTTAAGAAGTTTCTAATTTTAGTACTAGTTAGTTATAAACAAGTACGGTCCTATCGATCTAACAACGTAACTGATGTGACACATCAGTTATTCAGCATCAATGCAAACTTTATTTGGAAAGAGTCACAATTTCATGGTGAATTGTAAGTGAAACTGCAGAAGTGATCATATACATAAGAGACGGAGAAGTTCAGCGAGAACAAAATATTGTACGATATTTTTCAAAATATTACTCTAAAAGCGGAGACCAATACTGACGAAAATTACAGATGGGCGGTTAATATTCTGCACTTGAAGGGGTGAGCCGCTCGGATCATTTTGCATTTTACTGGCTCGAACCAAAGGTTTTCCATATCAATACACCAGACTGGAAAAATGTTGCAAAACTTTTCAGATTGGAGGACCCGTAACCATCAATCATATCCTAAAGAAAGGCGCATGCGCTAAGAAGCGACGCGCCGTGTCGCCTCAATCAAGAGAAAACATAAATCGGAGTGGCGTCGAGACGCCTTCAACTTGAAAGCGCGTCTGTTTGTCTGTTTATTCTCTGAAGAGACGACTACGAAATTGAGGAAACTGTGATGTGGAGGGAGATGGCAAGGTGCAGGAACATTCTGCTACCCCGTTCTTAATTTGTCACCAGCTATGAGTGCATAACTTCATCTGTCGTAACATAACCATAAGGTTCAACACCGCCAAACCAGTATCAGCATAATGTATATGTTGCGAGAGACAATTATGTCTTAAATTCGAAGGTTACTGGATAACAAAAGCTTTGCCCTGCGCGCAATTAGCAGCAATCCTCAGGGCGGAAGACACACCTCCGCGCAATGGGAAATTTCTTCCATTATTTACAGAATGGATGTGTAAGAGAATCCAGTCGCAACAACCTTAAAACACTCTACAGTACGCCCCAGAGTACACATCTCCATGTAATGTACTAACAGTGATACATGTACTTTGATTATAGTCCCCTTTCCGAGTACACAAAGTTTCGAAATGCAATCTTCGCGATATTACGTATATCTATATATTCATATATTCCAGATACACATCAACAGCACATATATTACACTATAGGGCCATAACGGTGTAACATTATTTTTTCTTAGATTATGTTACAAGCTATATATATGACAAATCGAATAAAGTTTCAATTAAGATGCATGTGGTCGTAGTGAAATATATTTTATGACTTGTATCCATTTTTATACAATGACACATTCTTGAGAAATTTTATAAAGTTCGATTTCAGCTGGATGTGAAACTGCAGTAACGAGCAAAATCTTATTCTCCCATCAACCTCGTAAATACCGAATCTCACAATCGGGTGCGAATAAATCTGGATGAGTTTACTAACGACCTATTTCTCTAACATGATTACAATGCTGTCATCCCGCTTACCAACTCATTTCTCAACCAAAATTCTCTATATATATATATATATTTCCTATTTCCCACGATCAATGTTCACGTCCAGACCACATTTCGGTGGCTCCTCAAATGAATATATTTCGCGTGATATAACTGAATTACACTTTCCCAAAGTAATTCGTAAGAATTTCGTGTTCTTCAAAGGTCTCTCACAACAGAAAACTTGCATGTCACTAGTGTTCGTAACGTCAGAAGGTTTTACGTTCGCCACAGTGGTACCATTTATAACAGGAAGTAAAGGTGTAGGCAATTTCAAATAATCGAGTTTCACGAAAATTGTTCAATTATTAGTCGTAATGGACAGTCATACATAGTTCTCAAAATGGTTCCGAACAGCATAACGTGAACATACAAAAATAAAAATCGATTTATTTACAGTAATTACCTTGGTACGTCCAAAATACTGCCCTAAGAACATACGTACACACGAGTTATGCTGTGCAGTCAAACAGTTGTTCAACTTCAAGTGGTGATAAAGAAATATCTGCTCCACTTTCTGTTCAAAAGTAGTTAGCCTCATTAATATTTTATTTGCTTCAAGCTGTTATGTTCTTGAGAAAATAGTGCTACTAACTCCGACAATCGAAGCGGTTATATTACCCAATCAATAGACGAAGTCAGTAACTAATGAAACGTTACACATGAACGACACCCACAATACCGGGAAATGTACTACAATACTTTCCGTGTCATTCACTGTGAAAATCCGATGCGTATAGTCCGATTATTTTATTGTGGACTTTCACTTCAGAGAGGCAGGAAAAGTTACAGGTCGGGTGGGAAACACTAAGACAGTTGTTGATATAGTCTCAAGCAAAAATATTATACACCATCAGACAATACATCGACTGTATGACTTGTCTGACGAATTATGATTCGTCTCAACAGTTTCCGCAAAATAACTGCAAGATTCAGCTACGTCACATTAAGAGGGGAAGGGCATGACGGCAAAGTCCGTCTTCGCATGTATTGTGAAATTTTTCCCCTTTCAATTTCGACACAGTCGGTGGCATTTACATTTCTATGCTACACTGTATTTTGTAGACGAAAGGAACTTTCAAGCATTTATAAAGTGGGCACAAGCCTTAACCAGCACGCGCTATTTCTACAGTCCGAACGAAACAATTTCATATCCGACAGTATAGAAAGAAGGGTGGAGGCTGTCTCTCCATATGCGCTATCGCTTCGCCGTCTTCCCCCCTCCGCCTTGAAACAGTCATCCATGCTCGGAGTTATGTTGCGGAAACTGTATGTGACGTAAGGCAATAAGATTTACGTAGGATACGGTCTGGGCGACAAATTTACGGCCTATTATTTCGAGATATCACTGCGGTTTGTAGAAGGCTAGAAAAAGAAATCACCGTTGAAGCAACCGCGACGGTAAGTCGATTTGTGGAACGGCATACAACATGAAGAAACTAAATGCGCACACTTTACAAAGCCCACAGGCCTCTGCAGAAAACTCATTTGGTAGGATACAACAATGCTGACGTTTTCTTTGTAACGCTCCCCTTGCCTTCTCCTCGCTCCTAAAGGGACCAGGTACCAATCAAAGAAACACTGGCGTCCTTACGAAAAAGTGCACTCCGTGGCCGGATTGGTTAAACTGATCAACAGAATTACAAAACACGAGAATGTCGGGTGCAGCATCGGCCGGCTGTTTCAATTATTTTCAACTCTGCTGGTGAAGTTAACAGGAAAAGAATCGTTATATAGTGCATATTAGTTTGTTTATATGGAATTGTTTTCATCTCCATTAAAATGTCCCTTACTGGATTAATGTTATTATCAATTTAGGGGCGAAACTCATCTAAATAATATCTTGGCGTTGGTGCGTCTGGCATGAATCTGGCTTCAGTCGCCGTGAAGATATTTTCACATATAATTCAGTTTTCAAATAAATATTTATATTTGAAACGCAACGTTTTGTATTAATGTTTACAACATATGAAAGCTCATTGCCACCAACGTTTGACAGGTCATACAATAGGCTATATTGTTAACAATTTTATTTAATTTATTTAATGTTCTGTCTGACGACAGGTCCATATGAACAGGATCCTTCCATCCTTTTCTCGGACTGGGACCTGTTCATATACGTTCTTGGCAGATGATCCAGAAGTGGTTTGCCATTGCCTTCTTCTGTGTGTGAATGGAGTAATTGTTGGGATGCCACGGAGAAACCGGGGAAGCCCCCGGAGGAAAACTCTGTGTTGCCTAGACCACGGCCTTGCCCAACACAAGTTATAAATTCGGGCACCGCCGGGAATCGAACCCGAGACCCCAGGATTACAAGGCCAGCGTTCTAACCGCTAGACCATAACAATAGTCAGGTCTAATACAATAGACTTCCTGCTATTCGGACGCTCACTATCATGACAAGTTTTCTTTACAGTTTTGAAAAGCTGTGTTCATACGAAAGATCACGTTCAAGACAACCTCAATAGTAAGCATTCCTACAATGCGGATCAGCGTTTATACTAGCACAAAAACTTTTCGAGTCCCAAGAAGTAGCCGGGCACCAAGACAGAAATGTCACATAAAAGCCGGGCATCAGAAAGTAGCTGGATACTAGCCAGAAATTTCCAGTGCCCGAGTCTCATGTAGCGTACCATAATTGCTAATATTGATCAAGTCTCAAATACTAGATAGAAATAAACACTGACCCGATACTAGCAAATAAATACTTTTTTAATGACCAGGTACTTACATAGAAATTTTATATAGTGGCCGAATACTGGCACAAAATCTGCAATATCGCAGGACAACTTATGCTACTGGACTGAAATGTATGAGAAGTCATGATTATGGAGCACGTTCCTTAAATAAATGTTTGGCGGAAAATAAACATTTAACATGTAAGAAATATGTAGTCTCGACACAATAACCAAACGTTTAAAATTTGATCAATTCCCAGAATCGTACGGTGCCGGGGTGCTCATGCGCCGAGCAACA